CTTTTCAGTGTCAAATATTTACTTTTTTAGTAAACTAATCCCTATGTACGTGCGTTGCACGTAATTATTTAATCAATTAAAGGATAGCTTGGTACAAAAAATTAATTACTATAATTTAGTTTATATAAATACCCAAACTACCTCAATGCACCTAATACTAAGGCATAGACATTCTAATATGTGTATCAAATATGTTGAATAATTAATGACAATTCTCAAAGTTAAATAAACAAAATACACGTCTCTTACAAATAATTCCTTAATAACTTTGTTTGCAACTAATTTTCAACATATGAAAAATAAACTGCAATTACAAAATAAGAGAAAAATATTTTTACTAATCAATTGTGAGTAAAATTCTGTTTTTCCCTTGATTCTTCTCTCCTGATTATTTTCGTGATTTGAGGGTTGAAGCCGCGTACTTCTCGAATGTAGGATGATGCAGGCCTCCTAGGGATGTATTTGATCTCCAGCTTCTTGAACTATTTGATTGTCAAGAAGTATCGGGCCATATTTTAATCTCTTTGTAAATATCCAAAGAGTTTATGAGATTTTGAGACACCTCTTCAAGGGAATATGTATCCTTTTATATAGGTGTGAGTTAGGGGTTAGGGTAGAATAACCTCCAAGAAACCCTAATAGACTCCTAGGATTTCAAGAGTCATGTAGTATCTTTAATTAGGATTTGACTTGATCCCTTAAAATTTCAATGTCTACAAACTCGTTTATGCCTCGTCCAATAATAAATAATTAATTTTCCTTATAAAAAGACATAAATTGTAAGCCGTAACTGAATTAGAACCCATTAAAAATTAGTTATGCTTCCTTTATGTAGTGGCGGTGATTTTCTAAAATCCTGGCCGATTTTAGAGTTCTAGTATAAGCAAAATTCTAAAATTTACAATTTTACCCACTATGGTATTGTCTTTTCCCAAAAAGAATTAAAATTTCAAGGATATAAAAGTCGATTAACATTTCAAGGATATTTTTGTCGTTCAACATTAGGGTTTTAACATTCATGCTTTTATAATAACTAGCTTCAGTGTACGTGCGTTGCACGTAAATTTTACATATGTCAATAAAAGTAATATAGATTTAAAAAGAATTATGAATATAAACTTGAACTCATAATAAGGATTAAACAAGATTAGAAAAATTTATTACCCTATGCATCAATATACAATTATTAGTTCACATGAGTTGAACAACACATACCATCATTCTTCAAGTTTGCTCAGTATCTAAGTTTAACTTATTTACACAGTATATAACAAGTAGTTCACATGAGTTAAATAATACACACCATCTTTCTTCAAGTTTGTCCCATATCGAAATGTAGTTTATTTTTAATTTACATATTCTTCTTGATAATATCAAACAATTTTTTTATTTATAAATTTACATGTTAAAACCAAATTTATAAATTTAAAAGAATAACTTGGACCAAAAATAAGGATTGAGAAGATTAAAAATGCTTTAACGCAACAATATACAATAACTAGTTTGCATGAGTTGAACGTAACGACACACAGACCATCATTCTTCAATTTGTCTAGTATTTAAGTGTACCTTTTTTTTTTAATAATATCAACAATAACAACAACCTAGTAAAATCTCACAAATTTTTATATATTATCAAATGCAGGTTTTTTTTTTTGCAATTTTTCATACTAATATGATATAAGAGTTTATTTACAAATTTTTATAAGTAGCCTATTTACGGTCTTTCTAAATTCAATCAATGGTATATAAACTTTAAAAGATAATACATTATTTTTGATGCAATACAATTATAGTAATTAGCAAAATTTAAATTATAAGCGAGACAGAATTTTTTTGCTATCATACCTCATGCTTCAACCTATAACACCCACAACTAAATTAAACAAAAGAAAAAGGAAATTGCTTTGAAAAATAAAAACTACATTTGTAATAGAAATAAAATTATAACTAAATTGCTTTCAACTACGGTAAACCGTGTTCCTAAGCTAAATATTCAGTAGTATTTATCTATAATTTATAAATTTTTATTAACCTTGCTTGATAGTCTAATAACTTTGGAGGGAATTACAAATGTCATAATGCACTTCAAAGTATCTGTAACTAACATTTACATTTTTAAGTTCCACTATTATATTTATATTTACGTGCTCTTAACTATATACATTCATAAAGAGTCTTAGCAAAAAAATCATTGTTATTTGGTAAACCCTTAATTTAAATAATAATTGACTTCTTAAAACAAATTTAAATCGATAATGATGTTCTACGTTCATACATAGAAGGAAGGGGTTCAAATATTATTTAAAGGAAATTATTCTAGTTCAAATAAAGAAAAAATTAATAAGTACTAAACTTTTAGTTGATTTCAAAGTACTATATTTTAGGAAAACAATTAAATGATAATATTGAAAACTCAAAGTCCTAAATATTAGGAAAATAACTAAGTGACTATTCATAAATATTAAGGAACTAATTAAATAATTATTCATACATATTAGAAAATTAGTTAAATGACTATTTTGTCTAGCGCGAACTCTATTTTTAAAAGGGGTAAAAAAAGCGAACAACATTTTGTTAAGGGCCTTCGTGCTTTTAATATAGTATAGATATAGATAAATAGATATAGATATAGATTGTAATGATACAATCACAAAATGAAATGCTAACGGCTTCTCCCCAAAAGAGATTTTAGGTGGCATCTAGAGGACTACAAATATAGATTCATTACCCATTCGGCCAATTTTAGTATACTATAAAAGTTAATGACTTGTGACCCGAAGGACATATCTTGTGAAAAAATGTAAGGTGAAACAGTATATAATTGATTTAATGCGCTTAGGCTCTTGCCATGATTTGGACTTCCTTTGGACAAGCTCTAGAAGTTTCATCAATTTCAGCAACCTATATTTGTCATGCATGATGACGTGTATATCCAAAATCTTCTTGGTCCATGTGTCAAGATGCTACAGCTGGAAAAAGAACCTGATCCTACATGTCAAGAAGTAAAGCACTGATTGGCTCATGGCGCATCCAAAGACAGATAAGGTGATCTTAGTGTATTCACTCTGCATCACAAACACCAGAAATTGCAATATCCACATCATACGTACCACAACATGAACTTATAATTTCCCCCACACTACTTCTATCACCCTTGCCTGAAACAAATTTCAGAAAGTTCACCAAAATGGCTCATGCTATGGCTTCAATGGGTGGCCTAATTGGTTCTTCTCAAACTGTGTTGGATGGTCAGCTCAGTGGCTCAGCCCGTTTGAGCACTGTTAGCACCAGCAGAATTGCCTTGGCTAGACCAGGACTCAGCATTAGAGCCCAACAGGGGTCTGCTGACACTGAAACTAGCCGTAGAGCCGTCATTGGTCTTGTTGCTGCTGGCCTTGCTGGTTCCTTTGCTCAAGCAGCCTTTGCTGCAGCTAAATCAATCAAGATTGGTGGCGCTCCTCCTCCCTCTGGTGGATTACGTAAGTCGTCTTGCTTTTGGTTAAGGTCTTTATTTACCTTTTTCCTTTCTTTCCCAGTCGTGAAGCAACATTTAGATTCATTTGGTTCTGTTTTTTTATAGATGTTCCAATTTTTTTCAATTCAAACACGCATATATATATATATATATATATATATATATATATATATATATATATATATATATATATAGCTAAGGGTTTTGTCGAACCTTTTGTGTCTAGTCTAGATCCGCCACTGATTACTGGAGCGACACAATAATAATATTATAATAGATATACTTACAGACAATTGATAGCAAGATTCACATATCCAGGAAAGAATGTAAGAGTGAGTCTCCAATGTTGCATTTCAATTCATTTAATTTTGCTTAATTTTTCAGTGATTAGAACCTTCACTTGTCCAAGGAATAGATTAAGGTTACTAGATCATGTCATAAAGAGAATTCCTGAAGTGAATTATAAGAGGGAATTAAGCTTGAGGAAAGAACAGGAGAGGCTCATAGTAAGTAGTCAAAGATTGCATCTGACACGAGTATTCCAATCCTTTTGAATGGTCTGTAACTTGTCCCTTCTGATTTTTATAATATTTCGTGAGAAGCGATTGCAGAAACGCTTTCAAACATTAAATTTGAAGCAGTAGATTTCATATGTGATACAAAAGGACACATCATTCCCAAATTGGGAAATATGGAAAATTAATCGATAAGTGATAATTGAGATCTTGTACTAGTTCTTAGTACTTTGCCATGAAAATCAATCTTTGTGCATTGCATTTTATGAATCCCGAATACAATAAACCAGATGGATCTTTAGAAGTAGTTATGCAGTTGAAATATGATGGCGTACAACAAATTCCAACTTAATTCAGAAGTGGTTACTAGAACTAGGAAAGATAATTTTAGTATCATATAGCATTTGGAACTGTCTGTAGTCATGCTGAGGATTTGGGTTTTGGCAGCTGGAACTTTGAACTCGGATGAGGCAAGGGACTTTGGTCTACCACTGAAGAAGAGGTTTTACCTTCAACCATTGACTCCAGCTGAAGCAGCCCAGAGAGTTAAGGATTCAGCCAAGGAGATTGTTAGCGTCAAGAATTTCATCGACAAGAAGGCCTGGCCGTATGTCCAGAATGACCTTCGTCTCAGAGCAGAATACCTTCGCTATGACCTTAAGACTGTAATCTCTGCTAAGCCAAAAGAAGAGAAGGGAAAACTCCAGGACCTGACTGGAAAGCTCTTCAAGACCATTAGTGATGTAAGTCAAATCTCTACATTCTTGGTTACGTACCTGAATGTCAAAAGTAGTGAAATTATGTGCATAGCAATCTAAAGGGTTACTTATATTTTCGCATTCTTTTAACAATCTGTTCTTTTCCTTTCTCAGCTGGACTATGCAGCAAAGACCAAGAACAGCCCTGAAGCAGAGAAGTACTATGCTGAAACTGTATCTACCTTAAATGATGTTTTGGCCAAACTTGGTTAAAAAAGCTTTCTGTACTAGTATGTTATTACTTCCTGTAAGTTATCCAATACTTCTTGAATCCAATTGTGAAGAATGATTTTGGAAGAATTGTTTAAAAATCTGGAACAATAAGTGCTGCACCTGAGAGCCTCACCCTAAAATTTTGACTGGGAGTTTCACTTTAATTGAGGTCTGTGACTGTGAGCAAAACACAACAATGGTTTTAATATCTTCTCTGCTTCTGGGAAGCTGACATTTGCAGTTTGCCGAGAACATATTATGAACAACACTGGATAATGAAATCGATGGATCAAGTACGTTGCATCAATTTCATGATCCATTAACTGCTTTAACAAGTATATATGTCTGGTGGAATCCAGCAATCAGTCAATTTTTAACAAATTCACAAGGAATAATGTAGGAACCATTTCAGCAGTTCAGTAAAAATTACATTAGAGTCAAGAAAAAGTTACAAACAACATAAAATTCAAGAAAATGTTACATGAAATATTAGGAATTTTGAAAAGGAATATATGGTATCCGGTTATGAAGAATTTTCCATAGATATTCTGCTTTCATTTCTCTAGTATGGAGCACTGGATTAATCTAATTCTCGTTGGTAAAGGCTGCATATTGGAAGAGAGTAATTTGTTTAACTCATGCATGGCTTCCTTGTTGATGATTAAGCTTCTTATCTTCCTGGATCGTTGCAGTAGCAGAGATGTAGTAGGAAACTGAGAAAAGTCCATGGATAAAGCACAATATCCCTCCTATCGACAAGAAACGATGGTGTGATATGCCACATGATTTTCTTGCCTTCCCGTTTGACATTGTTCCAGCTACCAGCAATGCAAATGCAATGCCCATGATTATCCTAGTTTCAAAAAAAGAAAAAAAAATTATATACAGCCATCAATTATAATAAATAAACAAAGATCAAAATATGCATGCATGATTTATGAGCAGAGACGAGTTTAGAATTTTAAGTTAGCAAATGTGGAGCATCTACGATCACCATAATAGATCTGTCATTGCTACCACGAGAAGCATGGTGGAATGGTTGAGATCTTTCCACTCTGAATTATAGTTCTCGGGTTTGAACATCTAAGGAAAAGAGAATGTTCCAGCATGAGTGCAGTGGCGGAGGCAAGATTTTTGCTAAGGGAGTTCAAAAAAGAAAAAAAGTTAATGAATTAAAAGAAACTATGGATAGTAGGAATTGAACCAGCAACCTAACAAAAGTTTTGACCCCCCTTGACCACTGAGCTATGCTTTTGGGCAATATCAAGGTGATTCAAAATATAATATATACTGGTACAAATCGGATTTTGCTTTATATGTACAGTGTAATTTTTCGGCGAACTTTCGCTCCCTAAATCCGCCCCTGCATGAGCGTTTCGACCACTCCCCTTAATGGGCCACTCTAGGATGTGAATCGGAATTAGTCGGCCTTAAAAGCTTTCGAATATCAGATGGTTAAACAGAAAAAGGGAGGAGGATTTGGAAATTACCATTGGAATACAAATGAAGCAAAAGCAAGTTTCTTGTTAGAAGAGGCATTATCTAACTCTTCCTGGGACTGGACACAAATACAACCAGCAAGCAGATTAGAAATAACTTGTGCCAGAACCAAAAGTACAGTTGCAGCCAATCCTAGCTTAAAAGCTTCATAGCTTGGATCTCTACATTCAAAGATCCACACCTTTAATTCTGATACCTGTCCCAAAAAATCAAGGACTTGCCGTTACTAAACAATATCAAGATTATGTACCTCAATTTCCTCATCTTGATGAGAATTTTACTTATAAATCAATGATTCTTTTTGAGTTGTACATGCATGAATGAAAGAAAGTTTACCTTATTTTGCTCTACCTCAGCTTGAATTCCAAGTATACCAGCTGCAACATCCAAAATCACAAGAAGAAGGCAAACAAGAATGCCAATGTTTTTAGCCATCTCTTTAATATTAATCTAGTTAATTACTTTCAGATTAGAGAGGCTGATAATATAATCTTCATGGAAAAACAGGAGACACCCTTATATAAGGAGTTTGTACAAATATAGAAATTCATGAATACAGAAAAAGATTGAGTCGAACGTGAGAATCTGAATAAAGGAGATGGATGCAAGAAACCTAATGCTGTATGATATATGAGTTAAGATTAGCTGGGATTATGGAGAAAAAGTCTTCCTTTGTCTTGAAAGACCTCTTTATTCTACTTTTGTTTCTTTTTTTGGCTCTTAAGATATTTTAATTTAGATTCCTTTCATGGGGAACAAGGAAAGCAGGGTATCCCCAGCAATTTAGACAGCTCAAAATTTTGTTATTCTCTATTTTGTTAAAGCCATATATATATTCACTTGCATGTTACTGCAGCTTTCATCCAATCTTAGTCTTGAGATATATGGTTTATATCTTTAAGTGCAAACTACATGTCCAGCAACATGGATTCTTTCTGATGGTTAACGATTTATTTGCCTTGAGAATCGTGTTAATTTCAATAGCACATAATATAAAGACATTTCTTTTCGTGCTTTTGATCTGCTTTGAATTAAAATAAAAATTAGATATGATTTATAGATGAAATGAGTTTGGGGAAAAAAAAAAAGGAAAACTTAAACTGATTCCAAGATGTATGATTGATATATATATATATATATATATATATATATATAAACTGAAATTGCTACTCCTTTACTTATCAAATTTTTCTGCGTTTGTGTTTACTTCTTTCTTTTTCTTTTCCCCTTATTCAGATTATCTAAGACTTGAGTTTTCAAATATTCTAGTTTTGACATTTTCACCATCTCTAGACTAATAGTATAGCTCTGCACATATAACTTCTTGGAAAATGAGTAAGATAAGTTAAAATTTATATTAAAAAAAAGTATACATTGCTCAGTATTCACTGGATAGTTTAATACACAAATTTAACTGTAGAAAAGCAATAGTTTAGTAAGTAAATCATACCGTAAGCATTTAAATTTTATTGGATTTAAACCTACAAAATAATTTGGACCATATTAAATTCAAGATATTAGTCCAAACAAATATTGTGGCTAGTAAATTGGGCTAATTATTTAAATCCGATACATGTGTTGGGCTAGTCCATTTAATTGGACTACTAATTAAATGATAAGCCCACTTCCTTAGCCCAAAGTCCAAATGGCTAGTAGCCCGTCTTAAAGCCCAGGCTCATGCCACATGTCAAGTGACGTGGCAATCCAAGACAAATAAATGAGCCAATGAAATCATGTCATGTGTCAAGTGATGTGGGAATCCAAGCCAAATAAATGAGCCAATGAAATTATACCATGTGTCAAGTGATGTGGCAATCCAAGCCAAATAAATGAGGCAATTAAATCATGCCAAGTGTCTAGATGGTATTGGTCGGTTCAAACAGATCAATCAAATCGAAGAGCCACACCACCCCCTACAACTATAAATAGAGGTCTTCATAAAGCTAGAAGACACCAGAAGTTATAACAAGAAGCAAGCAGAGAGCTCGTGGATCAAACACCGCAGATTTCTCTACAAGCTACAAGTTCAAGCACTCAAGCTAAAAGTTCAAGTTCAAGTCAAGATCAAGAACGAAGGCAAATCAAATACCAAGGCGTTCGAGATCAAGTTACTTGTTCGTGATCAAACCCAAATTCAAGTTCAAGGAGGAGATTCAAGATCAAGCTTTACAAGCCGTTGAATCAAATCAAAGTCAAGCTCATTAAGATACTTTACATTCTTGAAGAATCTGAGGAATACCATAGAGATTGTAACACTTTCATTTATTGAAATCAAATATTACATTTGTTACGCAATTTTCCAGTCTTGATAATTTATTTTTCTAAACGCGAAAATTTGTTGTTACACATACACTTCAAAATTCTTTTCAACTAAAATACAAACTCAGGTAACATTGTAGAAATGGCACCACGTAGCCACTCTAAAGGACTGCTAATTATAAATTAGTCAGTGCGTCCTGAATTTCAGTTTTTTAGTTTAATGTTTCAGCAAAATGTCCTGAATTGCCCTGAAGTTAAGATTTTTAGTTTAAAATTTCAGAAAAAATAAGTATTGACTAATCTCTAAATAGTATCCCAAATTGCAGGAGGCGCCCTATTTGGTCGCCCCCATTTAACCTATACCCATTTTTTTTTAAAAAGTTTTAACTTGTACCCACTTTTTAAACAACTTCAGCCCCCTTTCTCCTCCTCCTTCTCCTCATTCTCCTTCGTTTTCTTCTTCTTCTTCTTCTTCTTCTTCTTCTTCTTCTTCTTCTTCTTCTTCTTCTTCTTCTTCTTCTTCTTCTTCTTCTTTCTTCTGCTGTTGTTGGTGCTGCTATGAAACTTCAGTTCATGGGATGATTGCCATAAATATGTTTATCAGATTATTTAAAAACAAATTAAAAATAATTACGTAAGTTAGTAGACAATAATTTGTGAATATTTTCACGTACGTAAGTTAGTAGACAATGATAATTCTATTCTTTTCGCATTGTTTCCAAAATTTATGATTTAGATACTGTTGGCAATCTGATTATTTATCTAGTATGTTAGAAAGCTTTTTCAAAAACTTCAGCTTATATAGTGCTGAAGTTTTTACAAATGAACTAAATAACTTCAGCATCTTCTGCTGAAGTTTTTGAAAAAGCTTTATGACAAAACTAATGAATCCAGGACAAAAAAACTTCAGCTTTTAGTGCTGAAGTGTTTACAAATGAACTAAATAACTTCAGCATCTTCTGCTGAAGTTTTTGAAAAAGCTTATCCAGGACAAAAAAACTTCAGCTTATTTAGTGCTGAAGTTTTTATAAATGAACTAAATAACTTCAGCATCTTTTGCTGAAGTTTTTGAAAAAGCTTAATGACAAAATTAACGAATCCAGGACAAAAAAAGTTCAGCTTATTTAGTGCAATTACAAACAAAAATTTAAGCAAATAGAGAACAAAACTTCAGCTACTATGCTTAAGTTCAGCAATTACAAACAAAAAACTTCCGCAAATAGAGAACAAAACTTCAGCTACTATGCTTAAGTTCAGCAATTACAAATAAAAACTTCAGCACACTTGGTTCAGCACACTTGCTACTTCAGACCCGTCTACTAGAATGCTGACTTCAGCACACTTGGTTCAGCACACTTGCTACTTCAGGCCCGTCTACTAGAATGCTGAAGTTTTGCGTGATTGCCTTTGCTACTTCTGCCCCGTATGCTGAAGTTACGCGAAAAAGTGGGTACACTTGCGTTTTTTTTTTCAAAACGGGCACAAGTTAAAACGTGACCTAAAAAGCGGGTATAGATGCAAATGCCCCCTAAAAATGACTATCTGTGCACTTGCCCCGGTAACTTTTCTAAAAGGTGGACCTTGTAAATGAGATCTCTGTGAAAATCACTAAGGCCCAGCCCATTCTTAGAAAATAGTAGTAGTAAAGTTGCATTAGACTGGGCTGAGTACATGAAGAGAGCATCCAATGAATTTAGAAGTGACAGTCCATCTCAGGATTTGCTATTTATCTACTTAATTAAAGATAGAAAGGTGTAAAGAGAAAGATAGATTTTCACCAAATTAGAAGGTGATGCTTTTTTTTCCCTCCAGAAAATGTAGTTATAAAGTATGACCTGCTTGACCCGTTGGATGATTTTGGTCTGAATAGAAAAAAATAAATTAAACTCTGACCATTAAATTTAACGAAATTTATAAAGAAAAAAGAATTTAACCAGCCATTTAAGTCAAAAACTATTTTTTTCAAAATTTCCAGTAAATATGTAATAATTAAATTAAATATTTAGTAAAATAAAAATATTCCCTTTTTACAAACTTGAAAACTGAAAGGTCACGGAAATGGAAATGGATAAATTGTGTATGTCACAAAATCTAGAAATCATACGTGTCAAAAGGAACAAACTAGAGAACCCTTTTCCGCTATATATATTGCTGTCCATAACCGAAAAAGCTAGTGTTGGGTTCTAGAAACCGCTATAACCTTCTTTGAGTTCATAATCGAATAATTAAGTATACAGACATTGTGAGGTGTCCTAAACAAATTGATAAATTGTTCTTCTGCGCACTTGCATTTCTCTCCTCTGTGTGTGTGTGTGTGTCTGAGAATCAGGAGGAGGAGGATAAAGATGGCAGCATACAGGTGGAAGAGTTTCAACGATGAGGAAGAAGATCGTCCGGAGAAACCTCGTCGCTATGGCGTTACTGAAATGAGGGGACCTCATTATTCCCTTTTTTCTCGAGGCCTCCTTGAGGTACCCTTTAGTTTTTTCTTCCACACATTAAAATTGTCTGTATTTGCAGATTATTATTCGAAATTCAGCTTAGTTTTATAATTGTGAAATGTTGAGCCTCATGGAACTGAAATTACTGTAGAATTGACTAAATCGCTTCATTTAAAAGCTTAAGTCATTAGGTCTATGCACGGATTGAACCATGCACGTCTAGCTTTTGAAATGTGTGAACCCTCCCATCCCAAAGTTTAAGTGTTCGGAGATGTGATTCTTTTAGGTCTACAATAACAGGGAATTAATGTGCTTTCTAGTTATAAATATTGTACTTTAAAATGCATATCTATGCTTTGGGAATTCAAAATTCTGGTTGCTGCTAGCTGTAGAGGGTAAAATCTGCAATTGATCTGGGGAATGGGGCACTAGCAGCAAACATAATCGAATTGAAATAACTAGAATGAAGAACACAAAGTAAGAGAGACTGGTTGTGGATTTTAATATTTATGTGTTTTTTATCGTTACAGTTCTTTCTTGAAATAAAAGTACAATATTCTATCTACTGTAAGAAAGTTTAAAGGGAGAGCAATAATGGAAAATATTAAGTGAGCTGTATAGTGGTTTCTGAGGAACAAGTTGATAGCAGAGTGCTTGGTTTTTCGGTCATGGAAGGTCTGACTTCCTTATATAGAGAAGGAGAGTCGGGTCTCTCAAAGTCCGAGTCCAGTTGGAGTGTCTAAAGATAGAGATGTTGGTTTTTTGGGCGAAATCTTGACCAAGTATCTCAGGGATGGTTGAAGAGTCCATTGGACTCAACTTTATCCCTTTAGACTCAGTTGCAATCCGTTCATGGATAGGTTGTTAACTATACACAGGGAGGTTGCAATTTGCGTCCTAATTTCCGAGCGTAGCACTGCCTGTACACTCGGGAACTTGGTAAACTCGAGAACATATGTCCAGTCCTGGAGTATGTTGTATGCTGAAGCAAATAAAGGCGTTGGGCTCTTTAAATATGCAGTTGGTTCAGGGCCGTGGCAAGCGCGTGTTGTTTTGACCACTATACTAGTAATGCTAAAAGAACTCAGAACTGTGTGTTTGACTCTTAGTGTACAAATTCTATGCTAGTTTATGTTCCCACTGATCCAATTTGTTGAATTTCTCATTTTCTGGTTTATAGGATGTTTTCGAGTCTATGGGTCAGTTTGTTGACGGGCTGAAGTTCTGTGGTGGATCTCATACTCTGATGCCAAAGACTTACATCAAAGAAGTGACTGACATGGCACATAAACACAATGTTTATGTTAGCTCTGGTGATTGGGCAGACCAAATGCTTCGCCAAGGTCCTTCTGCTATTAAAGAATACATTGAGGTATAAGGAAGTGAATGTGGCTCCGGTTCTTCATTTCCAACTGATTTTTGAATTTCGGCAATAACGTGTTACTTGTTAATCTCTTAGGAATGTAAGCGATTGGGGTTCGATACAATTGAGCTTGATGTTGCATCACTTGGTCTACCTGAGGAGACCCTCTTGAGATATGTGCGGTTGATCAAGAGCGGTGGGCTCAGAGCGAAGCCTCAGTTCTCTGTTAAGTTTAACAAGTCTGATATAGCCTTCACGGGTGACAGAGCTTTTGGGGCTTACGTGATTCCTGCACCTCAAACCTCTGGTATGCTAGTTTATATTTATTTTTTCTATTTTCTCTCTTCCTTCTCTTAGCGAGCGGCACTGTCACCACTGTAATGTCTTCCTATATATTATTTTCTTGAGACTTTTAAAAGTGTCCTCTTTATAAAATAATGACTAGTGTCGTAGATACATAACAGATGCAACAATAAAACAGAGGTTGCATCAGGATATTTGTTCATCATTTAAACATTAATTTATGAAGATCATTTGTTCTAAATGTCCAGACAGATATTATTTTGAAATGTTATTTGTAGACTACTAACGAAAAAACTTCTTTAATACATTCATACCTCTTTGTGTACAATTGCACCTGAGTCCACATACATAGTACTAGAAGTTGCATATGAATACCTTAACGCTAATGAGCCCAGCTAAAGTTGTAAGTAGTTAGCTGTATAGCTGCATTTCTGTAACTAGGATTTCTTCATCAATCACTGTATAGCATCTCATGGAATTTTAGACTGTTGGTATTTAAAATAGGTGTAACCTACGATGCACGGTGTTTAGGTGCCGCCTAATTGCTTGACCTTGAAAATTAGAATTATGACATGGCAAATCAATTTGATCAGAAAAGTTGATATTATGAAAGCATTTTCGTTCTAATGGGCCACGCCCCTTGGGGATTCTCGGTTATCAAAAAAAAAAAAAATTTACTCTACATGGTGATTCTAGGAAATGTCAAAAATGTCTTCTAAGCTTTGGAGCCTAGCAAACTCTGGTAGTGGCATTTGTCTAATGCGAGTATTAAGTCTTTGTGATTTCCGTCGACCATGTTTCAGTTAGAAATTTATGTCATCTTCATTTCTATTGACCTTGGGATTATGAGATGACAGTGTATGTACTGCTAATATTTAGATGCTTCTGTTCTTTAACTGCAAGGAGTTTGTGATCTGCTGCGTAACCTAGAGTGTATTTTGCTATATCACTTCCAGTAATACCATTAATAAATTTTGAGATGGATTATTCGACAGAATAAAGTTTAATAGATTAACACGACTTCATAGATTTAACTTGGTAAAATTTGTGGTAAAAGATTAGCCCAATTTCAATCAAATTGCGTTCAATGCAGAAACGATATTATCTAGGCTTGTCAGATGGATAATATGTTGAATTGCAAATTTCGTTAAAATCAATATGTATCATTTAAGAGCTAATTTTTATGAATCTTATTCGCTAGTAGTATGTGAATAATAATTTGATGGATATCCATAGCTTTTAGGAGTTTAGATGTACAGACTTTGGATGAAGTGTTGACGACAATAACTCCTAGCCTCTAACATCATCTATTCTATATAATCAGCTTAGGCCTGTAGTCATGCTATTAATCAATTACTGGTGCACTTTTTCTTCTATTTTGTCTATGCGTGGGAATGACACATCTATCTATGTGTTCACAAATGTTCTAAGAGAGACAAAGTGGTCGCTGAAAACCTTCTCTAAATATTTTGGATCCCTGATCTTGAATGGCCGATGTATGTTTCCATCAAAGGTTGTCTGGCTAGCAGGATGGTATGTGGCAGTAGTGATGAAGTTATACAATGCCCAGAACAGTCTGGTAGTTTAAGATATAACATACTCTCCTTCATGAGTCAACTTTTGTAATGTTTGGGGTGCCATGGAAGTTGAAGACTGAAATGCGTAACAGTTTCTCTTGCGTATCTCATGCTGTGTTGTCTCGCTGCAGAGATGGTTGAAGATGTGGACCTTTTGGTCAGAAGGGCAGAGAGATGCTTAGAAGCTGGGGCAGACATGATAATGATCAACGCTGATGATTTATGTAGGCAGGCTGATTCGCTACGGTCAGACATGGTTGCAAAGATTGTGGGTCGTCTTGGACTTGAGAAAACTATGTTTGAGGCATCAAGTCCTAAAATCTCTGAGTGGTTTATCAAACGTTATGGTCCAAAGGTACTAAGCTTCTCCAAGCAAATCTTTCTCTAAAAACTAGATTACCAAATGTGACGGTTCAAATATTTTAAATTGCTGGTCTTTTCAGGTTAATCTTTTCGTGGATTACTCACAAGTGATGGATCTGGAATGCCTCAGAGGACGCAACCTAGGTGGCAGGTCATATTTTCTGCTCTGATCTTGTCGCATCCATAGAGAAAAACGCGCATATTGTGGCACCCATTAACGTAATGCTTTGGTGGTCATCTGTTGAGGTCATGTATAAATGAAAAAAGAATGTATTTCATGTATGTACTGTAATGATTTTGGAGACTTCTCTCTTTGGATGAAGTTCAGCTGCTTGTAAAGATACTCTTTTATGTTCTAATGCCTAATGGACTGAAAGTTGACAAATCTTGAAAGATTGAGGACCTGCGCTTTTTAGATTATACTGTACACCACTCCACCTGAGTATTTGCCTGTTAATGGAGGGTGTTTGTAGTCCTTTTGATGGAGGTCTTGAAGCGTAGCAGTAATAATGGCTATCTGATTTCCTTGAACAGTTTGACACCCTTTATTCATGGTGGGCAGGGGTGTTCATAAAAATCCGAAAAACCGAACCAAACCGAAAACCAAACCAAACCGACCAAAAAAACCGATACTTTTTGGTTTGGTTTGGTTTTGGTTTTGAATTTTAAAAACCGACCAAATTTGGTTTGGTTTTGGTTTTAATCAGAAAAAAATCGAAAAATAACCGAACCAAATCGACTATAGGAGTAGCTATTTCAAATTTATTATTACACCTATATATATGTATATTTTTATACGAAGTTTTAAAAATTTAATGATAAATGTTAATAGTTTGCACTTTTAGTATAGTGCTTTACCTTTACATTCTAGTTTGATTGGTAGTTTTCTTTTGTTAAGTGTAAGAATCCATTTCGTGTTAAAAATAATTTTTTTTTAATTGAGTCCTTAAATTATTCATCACTATTTGATTCAATTATCATCAATATATCTTGGTAAATAATAGATTTCTCAAAGAGCAATTGATTTGATAGTATTACGTTGAAAATATGGTCTCCGGAATATGTGTTTGGTAGTGTACGTCTTATATTTAAGAAAAAACCGACAAATAACCAAAAAAACCAAAAAACCGACAAAATCCGACATAAACCGAATCGAGAAAAAACCGACTTAATTGGTTTGGTTTGGTTCTAATATTTGAAAAATCGACTTACTTGGTTTGGTTTCTTTTTAGGGAAAAATCGATCCAAACCGAACCATGAACACCCCTGATGGTGGGGTGTCCAAGATAGAAATTGGAATTTATGTCTCGTCTTTGTTTGTTTCATGTAATTACTATCTGATTTCATGAGTTGGAATCTAGGTTCAGCATGTGCTTAGTTAAATATTTTAACAACTGGTTGAGCGTATTTTGTATTTTGTATTTTATACAGTTTGTTTCTATGGGGGAAAATCTAATTACCATGTCCTGCCCGTGGATTGTATAAGTCAGACAGTTCAGAGGTAGATATATCAAATGCAAGAGAAAAACTCTTTTTTTTTTTTTTTCCTTTTCTATTGTTTAAAACAAATTAATCCCTGTTGAATAGCGGAGGGTACAAGATCCATTTATTTTAACCCAAGGCAATGGTGCTTACTGTAACGCTTTGTTGACTTGGGAAACGGACTTATCATATCTTAACAAAAAAATACTATCAATTCTTTAACGAAATCAGAGAGAGAAATTTCAGAATCTAAACAATTCAGTTGACAGCTCCATGCTTGTTCAAGGATCCATCTCTTAGACCTTTGAAACCAGTAGTATGTGCAGGAAAAGAGCAAAGATTAGGAAGAATTGAAGAATTCTAACCAACATGCAAGATCGTGGTCATTGGCCATGTGAGATTTCTCTGTCTCCAGAGTCCAGTGTATCAATATTTGTGTGCTCTCATTTCTGGACTTTCTTCTTACCGTGTAACATTTCTTGCAAACAACTTATTGCTGGTCTTGCAGCTTAGATATCGACAAGTGGGGTAACTTTTGTTTTGTCACCCCCACCCCCACAACTATAAGTAGGTTAAACTGCGCAGGCACAATTTTTTTATGCGTTTGACAAATACCTACTGAATTAGAGTATATACAAATGTAGTGAATCTATTCTCATCTTAAAGACCATTAAAGAAAGGATGTTGGGAGGAATTGAATGTGGCGGATTTCATCTCAATGGTAGATAGAAATTAAATATTAGTGGGGCCCCTTAATTTATCAGTGGTCAATTGCTAGATCAAATGGGATTTTGGAGAAGCAGATGCTTTCCAGTATTTATTGATGTACATGCACAAAGATAGAAGTTGGTCCCTCCAACCTGCAAAATTAGCACTATGTCCTAATCTTTCTTCTTCTTATAAGTTACCTCTTTTGACGGTAGACACTTCCAAGAGGTACAATACCAAAATTTTGTTGGATCATATGCATTAGTGTTGTTGTTACTGTTAAGAAAAGGTATACGTGTGTATATGTGCGTGTACGCCTACCGCCTACGGGTGTGTGTGTCAAACTGAAGGCAATAGGTGCAGGGAGCTAAAGGTAACGAAGGGTTTTTTTTATTGAATCCCCCTAAGCTTAAAATTATATTGTGCAATAAAGTTTGTATATATAGTTGTTGAATTTTCTTAATAAAAAGGAAGTTTCTATTGTAATGAGAAATTTGATTTAAAAATTGCTTTAGGGTTCGAATCATGTGACATTTTTCCATTTTTTTAGAATCCCCTTTATTATAATTTGTGACATTTTCCATTTTTTAGAATTCCCTTTATTAGAATTTATGGCTCCGCAATTCGACGTACACGTACCCAATATCATCGAATCCACACCTTCACATAAGTATTTGATTAAGTGATTTTCATATTATGACAATGTAGACGTAATTTAGCCGTGTTCCACATACATTTGGTCGCTAGTGAAGTTTATTTCATAGGATGATCTTCCGGTATATCTTTTTAGTCATAAATATGTTCAAAATTTCAAGTTAATGGGTGCATAAATAGGACTCGTTATTCCATTGTGTCAAATTATGCATGCGAGTGTAGTATAAAAATTTGTTTAATGTTGTTAGTAACATTTAGGGGTGTTCATAGGTCGGGTTGGTTCGGATTTTGCACTTATCGAACCAAATCAATTGTGTCGGGTTATTAAATCTAAAGACCAAACCAAACCAATAAAACTCGGATTTTTCAATCTCGATTTTCTCGGGTTTTCGGGTTTTTCGGGTTTTTTTCCGGTAAAATCTTCGTAGCATAAAACATATAACTTGTGCTCAAACTATTTCTTTAATCCTAGTAAGATACAACATTATAAGGTATTTTCCAAAAAAATAATACAAAATATGAGATGTGTCATGGCATTATCCTAAGATATTCAACAAGAAAGACAATAAAATTATGCAATATAAATATTGCTAATTAGAAAGCTATAATAAAAATAAACATAATTTAAAACTAATAAGTCATGCTAAAATAAATAGACTAATAAGGGAGTATTAATTACATGACTAAATGCTAAAGAAAAAATAAAAATAGGTTATGTATTTTTATCTAAATTATTGCAAAACAAAAAATAGATATTCAATACATTGCCGTTCGTAGTATTGAATTGAATGTCTTTTGTTAGTATTACTATTGTTTTGATTTTGGTTTGGGCTTTTGTTAGCATTATTTAAGTTATTGGCTATAAAACTTATTGGAACATTCAAAAGTTCTAAAGCCAACCTTGAAATAATACCTTAAAGATAAAATTATTAAAAAGTGTAAGAAATATTTATAAATTACATCACCATAAGTATATTTATATATTAAATATATCTAAAATTTCTATATATGTAATGTCGGGTTGGTTTGGTTTCGGTTTGACTTTCTTTAGTTAAAACCAAACCAAACCAAATATGATCGGTTTTTTTTCCAACACCAAAGTAAATCAAACCAAACCATAGTCGAGTTTTTTTTTTCCGGCTTGACTCGAATTATCGTGTTGGTACAATTTGTCGGTTTTCTTTGTATACCCCTAGTAACATTAATATAGTTCTGGCTTTTGGGGAGAGTGCAGGTATACAAACTCAACATTCACCGCTGGTGATTTTGGGTAATGTTGTAGTCCTCGTAATTAAATTATTTTTTATGATTTCACTTGGTACGTTTCATTCTTTAAATTTTCTCAAGTGTAGCCTCTCTATATCGATTTTTTTGTTTGTTTCATTTCATCTTTAAAACAATAAGCATTCAATAAAAGTTCTAATTGATGGCTGCATTTACATGTTTATGCTGTTTTTTCTTTCAAAAGTATTACTGACGTATGAAGTACTTTATTACCTTCTGTTGTCATGTCTTTGTACTCTTTTGGTTTGTCCTTCAAATTTTTTCAACAATTAATCTAAATTTCCATATTAAAATATTCCATGTCCACACACAGACGTCACATGCCTCCTAACTCTAGATTGTCAATAACTAACAACTCACTGTATTTAATTGAATTTCTGGACCAAGGACCATTCATTTATTCCACATTATCTACGTGTCTATTCTCAATTCTGATCTCAATTAATATGACACTCTTCTAGTTCGGAATGCCCTCATATTTACAGGATTAATGTACTTATTATTTTTATAAATTTTACAAATTACTAGACTTCGAATTTCCTTAAATTAACCAGCTTAAATTTTGACACGATTAATTCTACTATGTATAAGATATACAAATCAAATTAATATTTTAAGTTCTGTATTTAATCAAATGAAATGGGAAGAGGGTGTAATTGTCTTTTCCCCTTAGATGTACTATGACCAATTAGTTTGTATATTAATGTCACGTTGTGGGATGATTCTACAGCAGAGTTCTTCTTTCCCATTGAATAATATCACTATCATTAATTAACCCGCAATTAAAGACCATAACTTAGATGCTGATTTATCTAATGAATGTTAGAATATTAAACGTGTTGTGTTGGTTTCATTGCATGGAAGTCTGAATAATGTATCTGAAGAAGTTTCCATAAATTTAGACCTTAGTATACTACAGTATTTATTAGGGTTAGTACATTATTGGACACAAAGTTACAGAAATGGTGACTTTCCTATTCAAACTGGAAAAAATATATGGAGGGAAGATTTCCTTTCATAACAAATTTTTTTCCTTCCCAATACCAATAGTTTATACTCCAAACTTTTGATCAATGTATATATTTTCAAGATTTCTTTAGTTTGAAGGTCAAAGAAGAAGACAGGAGGAGGAGGAAAAAAAAATGCCAGCAGTTTGGTTTGCTTTAAAGAGATCACTACAGTGCAAATCAGAGCTAAGAGATGTTCATGATCCAAGAACTGATGGCAAAAATTTAAGCAAAATATCGACGAAAAAGACGGTGAGTAGATCAGGTTGTTCTAGATCAATAGCAAATCTGAAAGATGTAATACATGGAAGTAAAAGACATATGGAGAAGCCACCATTACAAAGTCCAAGATCTATTGGAAGCAGTGAGCTTTTGAATCCAATTACACATGAAGTTGTGTTAAGCAATTCAACATGTGAACTCAAGATTACTAGTTGTAATTTCCAAGATGGTAATGGGAATAGTGGAAATAATGTTGAGAGTATTTCGGCTTTTATGGGTACCTTAAAACCAGGGACACCTGGTCCAGGTGGACACCATATTGGATCTTCAAGAAAATATAGAGGTTTTGGTAGCCCTATAAGAAAAGGGTCACCTGGGAATTTATCAAGAAAAGCAGGGTCTGGATTTGGTGGTATTGTTTCTAGGCCTAAGGCTTCTTCTGGTGCAGATTCTCATGGCTTTTCAGCTCTGAATTGTCATAAATGTGGTGAACAATTTGCTAAGTTTGAAGCTGTTGAAGCACATCATCTCTCCAAACATGCTGGTATTTACATTTATCTTGCTTATTGTTAATGTTTACCTTTTTATCGGTCCAACTATCTGGTATCTGAATTCGTGCCGGTTAAGTCCACTAGATGAATAATACTTCCAACCAAAAAGTTATCGAACTCGAGATATCTGGTTAATGATGGAGAGATCCAAGTTCCCAACTATCCTACTACTGCCTTTGGTGGTATTGCTAATGTTTACCAATTGCCTTTAATGTGATTGGATCTAATCCCTTTTCTTGAGTGAACTTGGTTCAAATTTCTGTATTCAGTGCAGAAATTAAAGAACATGCTTTCTAATACTTCTCTTGAATGATTTCAGTACATATTAATTTTTGTGAATTTGTTGCCTTAAAGTATATTGTTGTCTGTTTTGCAGTAACAGAACTTATTGAAGGGGATTCCTCAAGGAAAATTGTTGAGATAATATGCAGAACAAGCTGTTCAAAGCCTGAAAACAATTCAAATGGGATAGAGAGAATATTGAAGGTTCACAATATGCAGAAAGTACTAGCTCAATTCGAGGAGTATCGCGAATTAGTAAAGATCAAAGCCAGTAAACTCGCCAAGAAACATCCTCGTTGCCTAGCCGATGGAAATGAACTATTAAGATTTTATGGCACAACTGTTGAATGTTCTCTTGGCATGAATGGTTCCTCTAGCCTATGTACATCAGAAAAATGCAAGGTTTGCAGGATTTTAAGGCATGGATTCTCAATCAAGAAGGAAATTAATGGTGGGGTTGGAGTTTTTACAGCATCCACAAGTAGAAGAGCATTAGAAGCAATTGAGGAAAATGATGATAATATATCTTTGAGAAAGGCTCTAATAGTATGCAGAGTGATTGCTGGTAGGGTGCATAGACCTTTGGAAAATGTTCAAGAATTGATAGGTCAATCAGGGTTTGATTCATTGGCTGGAAAAGTAGGACTCTACTCAAATATTGAAGAACTCTATTTGCTCAATGCTAAAGCTTTGCTTCCTTGTTTTGTGGTAATCTGTAAATCATAAAAACTACAAGGTGATTGAGCCATTCTTTCATGTAATTCAATTGAAGTTCTGAATACTCAGAGTTCATTCACTCATTTCTTTTTGTGGGCGTAGTCTTTTTTCTCCTTTTTTTTTTTTTTTTTGCTTCTTTATTTTAAATTTCTGATTAGAAAAGCTTTCTGTTTCTAACAAGTGTAAATTAATTCTTTTTCAATGAGATACATGTGCTGTCTAGTGAAATGTTCTTAGATCTACTCTATACTGATAAAGATATGTGACCACAACACTGGCATAACTTGTCACCGGCCACGAGAGATTAGAATGGAAAAAAAAAGTAGTGTATAATTGGTGTTAAGATACGGTATATTTAGAGATGTTCTACATTAATTGTGAATATTTCGTAGCATTAATTTTGGGTTTACCTTAATTGTGGCATATTTTGTTTCCTTTTATTTCATGAATTTCTTATAAATAAAATCCATGTATTCTCTTGTATTTTAATCAAATAAGTTGAGACATTCCTTCTCTCTAATTTTCTTTGAGTCTTCTCTGTTTCTAACAAGAGGAAAGTCCTAAACTCCCTAACGTGGGATGATGGCAAATTCTACTGCCGCTCCGGAAAAAATACCTAAAATGTCATTCCTACCAACAAAATTACTATTCTTCAACCCCACGCTTGATAACTCTTGTCACATTAAAAAAATATTATCTATCTTTTGAAAGTTTAAATTTTTAGATGATTTTTTTTCCCCAAAATTCAATAAGATATTAGATGACAAAAGTTCTTGGAATATCACTGTCTGTCATACAAGCTTGGTAAAAAAGAAAAAAAGAAAAATAGAAGAAGAATTAAGAGCCCGTTTGGCTTAGCTGATTTAGAGTAGCTGATAAGCATTAAGTGCTGAAAAGCACTTTTAAGTGCTGAAACTGATTTAAAAAATAAGCAGTTACGTGTTTGGATAAAAGTGCTGAAATTAATAATATGCAGCTAAAGAACTAGGTATACGAAGAGTTTTGTTTTAAAAAGAAGTATTTTAGGGATAGAATAGTAAATACTTTGGTCAAACTTAAACTGCTTATAAGCTGAAATTTGATAAGTTGGGGGAGACCAACTTATGACTTTTGGCTTATTTTTGGCTTATAAGCACTTAACTTATAAGCACTTTTAATTTTACCAAACGCGTAGATAAGCAAAAAAGTGCTTATAAGCCAGTTTAACCGGCTTATAAGCTTAGCCAAACACCCTCTAAGCACCACGTAAGTATGTGGATCAAAAATAAGTAACAAATTAAAAGGTTCATCTTTCTAACGCTTTAAATTCTTAAAGTAGAAGTTCAGACGGTTTAATACTTTTGATTCTAGTTGTTGTATTATTCATATCCACCTTTTTCAAATCACCAACTTCACAGTTCCATAATATGAAATGGGACAGATCAAATTTAAATTGGAACGTCAGTAAAAGCCAAAGTTTGTTCTTACAAGTTAGTACTACTTAACCTGCACAATTCAGTAAGTTATTAATTCAGGGGAACATACTCATTCATTAACTTTTGTCTTTATATATGAATAATGACATTGCATTTCCTAAAATAAATCAAAATCTTACAAAATAATTCATGAGTGTGAATGTGTGTGTGTTTTTTTTTTTTTTTTTTTTTTTTTTTTTTTACAACTAGTACTGTTCTTTGGGTCAAAGTCGAAATTGCAAGTAGATTCAGGTAACCTTTATAGTAGTCCTTGGGAAATCCAAGAACAGAGTAGTATGCATTTATTTCATGGATTGGACTGCACAAAAATTGGAAATAAATTCTGATACTGACTTGCATTTATCTCCCATAACAGTTGGTCCTATGGGTCATTTTAGTTGGGTGTAAAGGTAGTCAATTTCAAACAACAAGGCAGAAACAAACAATCCCAGCACATCAATTCTTGCTAATTTTTGCATGTCAAGAAGCATATGATGATACGCATTGTTTAAAATTGCATAATTTGGACCTCTATAGCGTAACAGAAATCCTATACAAGTGTATTTTTGGGATTGTGAGGGTCTTCATCAACACAACAAATTCTCTGTCTTTGTTTTTTCTTTTGTTTTTCATGTTTTATCGTCCCCTCTAGAATGTGGCTTCCACTTTCTCATTTTGGTGTAGCTAAGCTTTTTCTCTTTTCCTTTTTTCACTGAAGGAGGGGCGGAGAAGGGGAAGGGGGGGGGGGGGGGTGTGGTAGGTTTGGGAGATCAGGGCCAAGAAGGAAAGTTTAACCCTACTACAGAGTTACTAAATTTTTTAATCAAATTTCTTCATATATTCTCCAAGGCACTTTAAATTACAATACGCACCTTTTGGTATGGAGTAACACATTTTATTTTCCAAGAAAATGACTTATTTTCTAAAAGATATTTCTCTAAAAGATGCTTATCAATATTTGATCGGAGAGTGGAAAATCCTTTTTACTTGGAAGTTTAATTAACGATTTTGTATACGGTGGAAATCGGAGCTACCCGATTTCGCCCTTCGATGGAGAAAAAGATACCACGTTGAAAGGCCAGGACGTCGAGTCCGGAATCGAAGTTTCTTTTCAAGATCGAGGTCGACATCACTAATCGAGGTCAGAAGGGGGCATACTTCGAAATGATGCCGGTATAAGTCAGTAACGGAAAGGGCGAGATATCCGCAACGGACCGAAGATCGTGGCATGAATCTCGGAACGGATCAGTCTGCAGCGGTTAATTAGTTGCTAATTTGATTTCCTACTATAATTAGAAGTGTACCTTATTTAGGACTCCCCTATTATATAAAGGAGGAGCCCATTCATTTGTAATCATCATTGTTCACTAAGAAGAATATATACACTCATTAGTTTCTTGCTATTTCGCTTACTGTTCATCAGAGTTGCTTTATTATTTGCTATTCTTATTATCATACCTCGAGACTACCACATGTCGGGATCGAAATTTGTCTTACATAGTGGTTTGATCTATTTTATTCTCTAATTTATCTATTTAATTCCTTGTTTATCAATTGATATTGGATTGAATCACATATCCTTAAAACCATAATATAAGTTTAATTATTACTTGAGTTTTAGGGTAAACAGTTTGGCGTCCACCGTGGCGCTAAGGATAATAGTGATTGTTCAGTGCTGATTTTGATAACACATGTTATTTCACGCTTGTACTTGTCAAGTATTTTTTGCTCTCAGGTTAAAACATGTCAAACTCACAAAATGCACCCACATATGGTGATAATGGTCTCGGGTTTCACGGGGAAAACAACAATGTGATTGCTCTAGGAGCCATGGTGCCACCGACCAATCTCGGGGGGTTGCTGATCCAGTCGATGTCAGTTGGCACGTTGCTCTAAATGCGAACCTAGGCGCGGACCCCAAAGGGAGTGTACGCGGGGAAGGCCGATCTGGTGGCCAAGGTACACAGGGCAGAGGAGACGGGGGAGTTAGTCTCCTTGTGATATTCGAGATGCTACAGCCTCAGCAGGCCGCTATCGCTCAGTTGCGAAATCAGTATAGGACTCCAAGTGGGGTCAATCCAAAAATCACTCGTCGTGCCGAGCCAGTGCCAGAAAGGTTGAATGGTAACGAATCGGGGACTGATCCTGCAATAATGAAAATGCTCGAGGAGCTCACCAAAAGAATTGAGTCAGGAGAGAAGAAAATCGAAGATAATGATAAAAAGTGGAAATATACAACTCCTGAGTTGATCAGATACCGGGGGCACCCCCAATCCTGAAAGGGTTGGATTCGAAAAAGTTTGTGCAGAAGCCTTTTCCTCAAAGTGCGGTTCCGAAGCTCATCCCTAAGAAGTTCCGTATGCAGGACATACCTAAGTACAACGGAACCACCGATCCTAATGAACATATCACTTCGTACACGTGCAGAATAAAGGAAAATGACTTAGAAGATGATGAAATCGAATCTATGCTGCTGAAAAAGTTCGGAGAAACCCTTTCGAAGGGATCAATGATTTGGTATCACAACCTACCACCAAATTCTATCGACTCATTTGCATGTTAGCAGATTCTTTCATAAAGGCACATGCCAGGGCCATAAAGGTCGCAACAAGAAAATCGGACCTTTTTAAGATAAGACAAAGGGATAACAAAATGCTGAGGGAGTTCGTATGCCGATTTCAAATGGAACGCATGGAGTTGCGACCGGTTACAGATGATTGGGCCATTCAAGCTTTCACCTAAGGACTGAACGAGCGGAGTTCGATAGCATCACGTCAGTTGAAACAAAATTTGATCGAGTATCCAGCTGTAACTTGGGCAGATGTGCACAACCGATATCAATCAAAGATCAGGGTCGAGGACGACCAATTAGGAGCCCCTTCCAGTTCAGTGCATCCAAACAGGTCGGCAACTAAAACCCAGAGAGACGTCGACAGGGAGCCAAGGTCGAACAGGGAACGATATCAACCATATACCGCAGATCGAAGGAATAATGGTTCAAGATGCAATTCCGCCTGGAATGATCGAGGACAGAATTCCCGGGGACTTATGAGCAAAAATGGTTTTGATAAGCATGCCGATCCCACAGAGGCACCTCGGTTGTCGGAATATAACTTCAGTATCGACACATCGGGCATCGTATCGACAATTAGAAGGATCAAAGATACTAGGTGGCCCAGACCCATATAGACCGATCCTTCACAAAGAAACCCAAATTTGATGTGCAAGTATCATGGCATACATGGTCACAAGACCGAAGATTGCATGCAATTAAGGGAGGAGGTAGCCCGTCTATTCAATGAGGTCCACCTTCGAGAGTTCCTCAACTATCGAGCCAAGAATTATTTCAAAGAAAGGGACGCTGATAAGTAGGGATTTTAACCTATTATTTGCTCTCTTTTACTTGTGTTTTGGCCCAAAAATGCGTGAAGGTATTCTCGGAAACTAATACAATATGCTTGCTTGCAGGAATTGTTCAAAATGATCCAAAGGAGTCATAATCAACTCATAAAGTAGTCAAAACATGAAAAAAAAACCAAAACTGGGCCAAGAGATCTGAAACGTGGACCGCACAATTATTGTGCGGCCGCGAAAGCCACAACGCGACCGCGATCAGAAATACACGATCTGCGAAAGG